TAGAGCTTCAGTCAAGGTGGAAAAAAAGGCAGCAAGGTGGCTACACTGCCTGGTGTACAGCACTCATTAAAAACTGGCTGACTCAGTGGAAAGACTCTCGCAGACAAAATGTCTGCCATCCTCAGAAGGGCTTCTCTTGGAGTGCGTTGCAGCTTTCGTGCTGAAGGCAAGGTGTTCTAGGCATCCTGTCCCCCGTCTCCCCCGTGGTGCCTAGTATGGTGGCCTTTGCTCCTAAGGATGGCGCTCACTTTGGGCCCACCTAGATTGACATCACAGTATCTGGACACACTCAGAACTCTCAGTAGCCCCTCCTCACCCACAGTGGAAGCCTCAGGCTTGCCATGGAAAGTCCTGGAAGCTCAGTTCCAGAACCTGGGAAGGCATCACTTCCAAGTCCTCTTTTGAATTCACTTACTTTTGCCTGGTGTCCTCAGTTTCCATTCCAGCTGGAGTCAGCCTCCCTGCTCATTCCTCAGGTAGAATATAGATTTGTTTTTTCTGTTTTCTTTTCACCCCTGGGTGCTTGCTTTTAGCTGGACTACCCAGGCTTTTTGTTTTGAGGGAGTTTATTTCACTCCATGAATCACCATGTATATTAGTCAGTTGTTATTGCAATAATGCAGCATAACAAACAGCATACATTTATTATTTTTGCTTATTGGTCTGTGGGACATTGAAGGTGGTTCTGCTTCACACTGTGGTTCTCCATGGGGCTCCTTCATCTGGTGCCAGAGGCCCTTGGGAGCATCCCCTTCTCCTGGCAGGTGGCAGAGGCTCAAGAGGCCAAGTTTGATGAAGCAGGTACATTTAAAACCTCTGCTCACCTCACCTCCACTGACATTCCACTGAGCAGAGCATGCTCCTATGGCCAAGACCCTTGTGAGTGAGATGGAGATGTACATCCCCCCTTGTCTAGTGGGGGGGGCACTGCAGAGTCACGTGGCAAAGGACGTGGATACATAATGCTATTGTGGGGGTACTGAAGAGTTGGAAAGAGTAATCCAGTTTGCCACATTTGCGTCAGGCCCCATGCTCTGGGCTGCCCCTGGGCAGTCTGGTAGAGCCATACATCTCCCGTCCAAGGAGGTTCATTCCCCTTTGGTGGTGAGTTGTCTTTCTGTGAATTACCAAAAGATGCCCCTTGTGGGCAGATCAGTGAGCAAAGGTGCTTCTTCCTTTAGGATGATACACCCCTAGTCTGGGTGCTTGGCTTGGCAAGTGGAGGATGGGCTGGAATTCAGCCCCCACTTGCTCCCTGGGGAGGCACCCTAGTGCCAGGTCAACTGACAGGTCTGTATGCTGTGACCCTGGGCACACCCAGGGGGTGGCTCACAGGGCCTGAGAAAGCAATTTTTTAATTTTTTAACATCTTTATTGGAGTATAATTGCTTTATGATGGTGTGTTAATTTCTGCTATATAACAAAGTGAATCAGCTATACATATACATATATCCCCATATCCCCTCCCTCTTGCATCTTCCTCCCACCCTCCCTATCCCACCTCTCTAGGTGGTCACAAAGCACCGAGCTGATCTCCCTGTGCTATGTGACTGCTTCCCACTAGCTATCTATTTGACCTTTGGTAGTGTATATATGTCCATGCCACTCTCTCACTTCGTCCCAGCTTACCCTTCCCCCTCCCCGTGTCCTCAAGTCCATTCTCTACATCTGTGTCTTTATTCCTGTCCTGCTCCTAGGTTCTTCCGAACCTTTTTTTTTTTTTTTAGATTCCATATATATGTGTTAGCATACGGTATTTGTTTTTCTCTTTCTGACTTACTTCACTCTGTATGACAGACTATAGGTCCATCCAGCTCACTACAAATAACTCAATTTCGTTTCTTTTACGGCTGAGTAATACTCTGTTGTATATATATGCCACATCTTCTTTATCCATTCATCTGTCGATGGACGCGTAGGTTGCTTCCATGTCCTGGCTGTTGTAAATAGAGCTCCAATGCACATTGTGGTACATGAGTCTTTTTGAGTTATGGTTTCTGAGAAAGCACTTCTGTCACAACTGAGTCCAAGCTATGCTGCGTGGTCTGGGGGTAGATTTCTATAGTTGTCAATCCAGGCCAAAAAGCTTGTTTTTTTTTCTTTTTTTGACCCTACCTTCAGAAAAGAAGTGAAGCCTTTTCCTTCCCAGAAATAGCCTTGCCAGCCAACCACATAGTCTAAAGCCAATGTAAAAGGAACAAGATGGTTACAAAACGTTCATAATTGTAGAGTAGCCATCTGTCTTTGAAGAAAGGCCTTCTTCTTCTTTCCCTGGGAATGACCACATAACCCATAATTACCCTCAAATTCCAAAGTCAGAGGAAACACCGCACCTCTCTGGACAACGGTAATAACCAATTCTGACAGTACAGTCTCCTGAGCGCCAATGGTCTACACTGACCAGTCCCGCAGTACAAATGAAGTGGGTAGTGTCCCCCACCACTGTCCTCCAGGCTTTGTGGTTGGCAGGTGTGTGAGCGTGCCACGCTCACCTTCATGCTTCCTAATTATCGGAAATACAATAAATGGATCAGAACTCCAGTTTGGAGGCAAGACCCTGTCTTTGGCAGATGGGATTATTGGCTCTGCGTCCTTTACCTTCCCTACATCCTCATCCTTGCCATGGCTCATTGTGGGTGGGGTGTAGTTTCCACCCCTTGACTTCGGGTTATGCTGTGTGACTTCCGGTGGTGTATTGGCAGAAATGAGTGGGTACCAGGCCTTGAGAGGTCTCAGATGTGTCTGATTTTTCTCTTATGCTCAGAGAAGACCTTCTAGCTATCTGAATCCCTCTTAGTCTGGGCCCTGGAATGAACCCATGTGCAGTAGATATGAGCCATACCTCAGAGAGGGCCAAGACAGGCTATATCCAAAGTTTGAGGCAGCACCACTCAGCCCAGCCTGGATCTGCCAACCTCCAGCTGACCTGGGGACCCACAGACCTGCGGATACATGAGTAAAAATGAGTGATTATTACTAAGACTTGAGGTGGTTTGCTGTATAGCATTATTGCAGCAACAGTTAACAGATTCACTTGTTTTCTAATCAAGTGGCACAGTATATTGACCTTGGACATCACACAGGGCTGGGACACGGGAAGCACCCTAGCAGAAAGGCTACTGTCTTTCTGACTTGAGGGCTGGGATCTGCCTGAAGGAGAAAGTGTGTGACTCAATTAAGATACAATTAAGATCCTCCTCCATGGCCTCCCTTTTATCTACTGTCCTCATTATCCTGCTTCCTTTTCTTCTCACCGTGGGAATGGTGCTGCTATTGCATGCTGATGAGTTTGTCTGTGGCCCAACTTCTGAGCTGGAGATGTCTGGGTAATGAATTTGGATTTAAGCTCCTCTAGCCAGCACTTGATAGACCCACGACTGAGTGCATTGGAAGGCCTTGATTTCTCCTGGGCATGTTTTGGTACTTAGAGGTCAAGAGTCATTTGATACCTGTCTACCTACAGTCAGTCTCAAAGTGAGTTCTGAAAAATGTATGAAAATGTACAGTTGTTTCAAGTGACTTAGTTTACTCCTGGGAACCTCCCCCACTCCCCTCACATGCTCTGAAGTGTTTTGCATTTCATCTTTCAAATTTGGTTCCAGAGCAATTCTCCCTCACGAATATATGAAAGATTTGCTGCGCGTGAGGCTTGGTTGGAGCCCAAGCAGAATATGGGCACCTTGACACAAGGCCCCTGTTGAAGGAAGGTGATGAGCAGGTAGACATAATGTTGTAACTCCGAAAGACAAGTGGGAGGTGAGCTCAAGAAGTAATAGCCCAGTTTCACACATCGTTTCTGGACACACAATGTGCTTTCCGACTTTTCTTATTTCTTTGCCTTCTCTCTACCCGCTTTGAATCTTCTCTAAGGCCTAGTCTTTCAGGATTTCATCAGGGTTAAATGAAACCACTCATGCTCTGAAATCCTGTAGTGCTTACTAAAATGGCTTTTAAAATGTTTGCTGTGTCCCACAGTAAAAATTAAATTTTGCATCAGTTCTTAACACACACACGTACACTTTTATATGAGTCTAGTTTAAAGTTTCTCTCTTTGTCTTAACCTGGGTTCCCCCAGAAGTAGGCCTCAAGGTAAGGATTCATGTGCAAGTGGTTTATTTGGGAGCTGGTGCCAGGATAGACCAGTAGGGGAGTGGGCAGGTGACCAGGGAAAGGAAGGAAGACGTCCGAGAGTGTATTATCAACAGGTGCTTAATCTCACTGGGGTGCCCTGGTGACAGTTTTTGTGGGAGCCACACTTCAAGTTGGCCCCCAGTGATCCTGGCCTCCTGTGTTCATGTCCTTGTATAATTCCCTCCCACACTGAACTATGCATGTGGCCTGTGTGTCCAGTAGAACACGGCAGGAAGAAATGATGCTGTCCACGGCAGGCAGCATCTGAGATAGCCCCAGTTATCTCTACCTCCTGGTGTTCATGCCCTGTGTAATCCCCTTTCCTAGAGTAGGGCCACTTATAACCAACGAGAAGTGACTCAGTCCTAACCAAGAGAAAATAACAAAGGTGATGCATCTCACTTCCAATATTAGGTCACAAAAAGACTCTGGCTTTTGCCTTGCTTGTGTTCTCTTGCTCTTTCCTTCACTGGCTCTGAGGACAAACCAGCCCCCGTGTTGTGAGCTACCTTACGGAGAGGCCCCCGTACTGTCTCCAGCCAACAGCCCCTGAGGCCCTAAGGTCTGCCAACAGCCTCACAAGTGAGCCTGGAAGGGGATCCTTCCCCAGTTGAGCCTTGAGATGACTGCAGCCCTGGCTGTAGCCTTGAGAGAGACTCTGAGTCAGAGGCACCAAGAGGCTGCCCACTAAGCTGTGCCCAGATTCCTAACCCATAGAAACTGTGAGTTAATACATTTTTTTAAGCTGCTAAGTCTTGTAGTAATTTGTTATGCAGCCGTAGATAATTAACGCAGCATCTGACTTTAGAAGCGAGGTCATAGAAGACTTTGCTGTTTATGCTTTGGGCTCTCTTGGATTACAGCCCTGGGGGAAGCCAGTCACAGATTGTGAGCACGCTCAAGAAGCCACACAGGCAAGTGTGTGTGGTGATGAACTGAGGCCTCCTGCCGATAGCCAGATGAGCCAACTTAGAAGCAGATCATTCAGCCCCAGTCAAGCCTTGGACTAATGGCAGCCCCAGCTGACATCTTGACTACAGTCTCATGAGTCACCTGGAGCCAGACCACCCAATCAAGCATCTTCTGAATTCCTGATCAACAAATATCGTGAGGTAATAAATATTTATTGTTGTCTCAAGCTGCTGTGTTTTGGGAAGAAATTCTTATGCAGTAGCAGATAACTAATACAGTGTAGGACAAGTGACTCAGTTATTCTACCCAAATGAGAGATACCCATCTGCCAGTGGATGAGGGCTGCTTTGAGGGCGTGTTAATTCACCTGCATGGATTTGTGGGCAGACAGGGCTTTAGTGGCCAGAGAAAGCCTGCAGGCAAAGAGGTGCAGGACCTGGCAGTTGGAAGTCAGTCCTGTGTGTACTCAAAGGTAGAGGTGAGGAGATATGAGTAGGGGGGTTCCCAGGGCCTGCTAACTCTCAAAGTCAATTTAAATCTCATCTCTATTAATTCCCTCCCCCCAGGCAAACTTGGAGCCCCTACTTTCTTTTCAGAGTCTGGTTCCTCCAGGATGTCCCTGGTAGAAGGAAGAGAAGTCAAGCATCTCTTTCCATAATTGACCCCTCTTGGGTGGTCCCTTTGATGGGTGCTGGTGTTTCTTTTGCCGATGACTGGTTGTCGATGCTCTCTGTGACACGAGTCCAAAGGCGAGGCTTGCTTGTGAGGTGCATGTTTAGGTCCTGAAGGGCCCTGTGGTCATTCCCTGATGGCGACTGACCTCTCCCACTCCCCACTCAGCTTTCACCTTGGAGTCCATTCTGCAGCCTCCTGCTGCCTGCCTTCCTGTGCCTGGTGGGCAGCCCTGTCGAGTGGAGTACAGGAAAGACAGGTCCAGTCCAGTCTGTGATGTCAGCTTGACCTCTGGGGGACTTGCAGCATCAGCCTCACTAATCGGGCTGTTCCAGGTGCTCCTTTTCTGCCATGTGCCTCCTCTCTAGGTGTGTCCCTGCTTAGGTGGGCACAGCACATCCCTGGGGGGTGAGGGGCCAGACTCCCCGTCTTGCAGGAATCCCAGATCCTTACGGCTGACTCTTGATGCCTTCTCGCTTGGCTTTGAGGTGGGGTGGCGGAGGAATCACACTCTCATATCCAGCATGGCCTTCCAGTTTGTGGCTGCGCCGTGGGTCCTAGCTTCTGTTTCTCGAGGAAAAGTCTTGCCCAACACCCAGTAATACACATAAAACCCCCTTCTCAGTGCTGAGCAGTGGGTACTCCACAGATATTCAATTTCCTCCTTCTCAGTGTCAAGGACGGAACATGCAGCAATGTGGTTGGCCTGAGGACCTGGGTTTTATACAAAAACGGGGCTCACAGAGGGAGGGAAAGGAAAGAACGTGTGCATTCCTGCTCCAAGTGCAGAGTCTCACGTGGAGTGGGTATTCATGGAGCTGATTCAGGAGCCTTTTCAACAGAAAGCAAAGCATGTAGAGAAACAGAGGTCCGGTGTCAGTCTCTGGTGCTTATGGGGGACATGAGGTGGTGGCCTTGCCTGGTCTTCAGTGGCTGCCCCCATGAGCCAGGGGCTTCCCCTTCCTGGGCACCAGGCAGCTGCCACCCTGCTTAACTCTTTTCTGTGAAATGTGGCCAGACACAAGGCCCTCGCCACGCGCCCTCCCTTTTGGAGGCTGCCCGGGCCCCCTCCCCTTGTCTTTCTTCCTTCCTTTCTTCTTTCATCCGTATATTTCTGTATCTACTACAAAGGTCAGAAAAACAAATCAATGAAAAAAGGACCCAATAATCCTGAGACCTGGCTCGGGGATGGGAGGTGGGGAGGGAAGCTGTGCAATAAAATGAAAGAGAATTTAAAAATTCCCTGAACAAGGCACAGCATGGGGTCCCGATCAAAGGGCCAGGCAGCTTCAGCTTCATGTGTGCAGCAGCTGGATGCTCTGAGGCTGGGGGAGAGACAGCCCCCAGGCCTTGGCCCCCCTCCCCACCTCGTGCCCGACACACACAAGCACACGCATGCACACATGCACACACGCACGTACACTTCTCGGACCATCACCTGACTGCTAAGGGAGATCTGAGGATGGGTATCTGGAGTCTGGGAGGCAGATTGGAGAAGGCATTGGGAGCCCGCTTAAATCTGCATAGTGGTCCCATTTTCCAAGGCTGTCTCAAGATCCCATCCACACGAGAGGGGTCAAATGCCCTTTGAGGACCAGACAAGAGTATTCATAGTGACTGAGGAATGGGATGTTACGAGTCCCTCCTGGCTTTTTCTGAACTGACCTTGGAAAAAGGTGAGAAAATAAAAACCCATCAGTCTGCAAAGAGCTGAATCACCTTTTTAAAGTCCCTTCCTGTGAATAGCAGCTCTTCCACGAGGTTCTTCCTGATACCTACTACTCCCCCAGCCCAAGCCCCGGGGCTTGATTGAGCATTTGCCCCTTGAAGCACCCACTGTACCCCAGTGTTCTTCCACCGGAGAGTGGAGGCACCTGGGATGCTTTATCATTCTTCATCATTAGTCTGTTCCATTCTGTTCTAAGGGGGGCAGTGGTAAAGCAGATCAGGGGCAGACTTGAGCCATCACCCCTTATTGGCAAGTGACCTTGGACAAGTGATGTAACCTCGGTTTCCTCATCTGTAAATTGGGGATAATAAATGTAGTTCTTCTTTCGAACAGTGGCTCTTTGAATATTTAAGGGCAGGTTTTCTCCTCTAGGCTCAACAGGCTCTGCTATTTTCACAGTTCTTCAGCTATGTTATGTAACTTGCAAAAATCCAAAAATGTTTTGAGCAAGAACGGCATCGTCAGAATAAGAATAGAGGCTCTGCCCTTTGGGGAACCTCACTCAAGTGTATATGTTCTGGTATGTTTGCTATCAAGTGACTCATTGTTTGATATGATGTTTATTGTACATCAGCGTAGAAATATGAAGACTTCCCTGTGTACATAGGTAGAGAAGGCAACATGTGTGTGTGTCTGTATTTGAGTACATGTGTGTGTGCATCTGTGTGTCTGTATGAGTGCATGTGATTATCTTCCTGCTTCTTTCCAAAGAGTTTTGAGGTGGTTTGGTGATGAAAACAGAATAGGAAATGAATCATTTAATAATAAAATGGAATAAAGATAATGGAAAGGATGCAGAAGTAGGCACTTCAAGATTTCTGAGTTGAACAGATTAAACGTGTGCAGGAAATTTGGCTGTTTCTTGAAAGTTAAGGCTCTACAACAGAGCCTTATGGTTACCTTGTTTGTTTGTTTGTTTTTGGCAAAAATGGTTTTGTTTCCTGACTACTACTTTCTGCTTGCAGTAGGTCAGAGAAATGGCAGCTGGATCCAGGGAGATGAGAAATTTAAGTAGGCTTAGGAGTTGGCAGGCAACAGCACATTGGTTTTTTTCTTTTTTCACCTACTTTTCTTTGTCTTTCTCTTATTTATGTAACAAAAAAACCAAAAACAGAAACAAAAATCCTATGTTTGTAAGCCACTTTCCACATTATTCCACTAACAATTCTGTGTATGGCATAAACATTATTCTTCCCATAAACTGAAGCCCCAGAGACTTATGCCCATTTTATGGACATACTACAATTTATTTATCCATTCTCTTATTGATGGACATTTCAGCTGTTTCCACTTGGGACTTTTATAAATAGAGCTACTATGGACATTCTTGTACAGGTCTTATTGTGAATTTATGTTTTCATTTTTCTTGAGTAAATATCTAGGGGTGGAATCGCCAGGTCATGGAAGAGGTGAATGTTTCAGTTTCAGTAGAAAGCTAAACGGTCTTCCACAGTGATTTTACCAGTTTACACTCCTACAAGAGGTGTCCAAGAGTTCCAGTTTCTACATATCCTCACCAACCCCTGGTGTTGTCAGCCTTTGCTTGTAGCTATTCCAGTGAGTGTGTAGAGGTCTTGCACTGTGGTTTTGATTTTCCTTTCCTCAATGATTAGTGACTTTGAACACCTTTCCATAGATGATCTGGCCATTGGAATATCTTCCTCAGTGCCCAAAGGAATGAGCTACTGCTATTCACAGTAACAGACTAACTTCAAACACATTATGTTGAGTTAAAGAAGCCAGACAAAAAGGAGAACATACTGTATGATTTTGCATTTTGTAACTTTGCTGAATTCAGTTATTAGTTCTAAGTTTTTTGGTCTTGTTGTTAAGGTTTTCTCTACGTAGCATCATATTATCTGCAAACAGTGACAGTTTTACTTCTTCTTTTACAGTTTGGATGCCTTTTATTTCTTTTTCTTGCCTAATTGCTGTGGTTAGGACTTCCAGTACTATGTTGAATAAGAGTGGCAGGAGTGGGCATCCTTGTCTTGTTCCTGAAGTTAGAGGAAAAGCTTTCAGCTTTTCAACATGCAGTATGATGTTAGTTGTTGGTTTGTCATATATGGGCTTTATTATGTTGATGTATGTTTCCTCTATACCACTCTATTGAGAGTTTTTAATCATAAATGAACGTTGAATTTTGTCAGGTGCCTTTTCTGCAGCTGTTGAGATGATCATATGATTTTTATCTTTCCTTTTGTTAATGTGGTGTATCACACTGATTGATTTGCAGAATATGAACCATCCTTGCATCTCTGGAATAAATCCCCTTGATCATGGTGTATGATAAGAGGGGATAATTTTTATAATTTTGTAGGAAGTTATTCTTTAAGCCTACAGAAGCATTGTGGTGAACATTGGGTCAGGAAAAGCTGTTCATGAGCAAAGCCTGCCTTGGTACTTGTTGAAATAGCAGTTTATGTTCATTTTGGTGGAGAGACATCTCTTCCTAAAGATAGAAGGCCAACTTGGGAACATTTTTTGCTTGTTCATTCATTCCTGTTCCCCTTCTTCCTTCCTTCCATCCATCCTCCATCCATCCAATATTTTCTGTGTACTTAGGCTGATGAATACTGTGTTCTGGGTACTGTGCTAGCTTCTGGAGATGAATTGGTATTTTTTTTCCTTTTAAGCTGGGGATTCAATGGCGTTTTATTTGTATGCTCCCATCTCTGATTTCCCAGGACTTTGAAACATTTCTGGCCAGGGTGTGAAAAAATATCTTTGCTTTCCTAGCTGGAGAGCATAGCTCTGCCTTTGGATATACACATGAGCTGAGGAAAGTTCCATAAGGCAGTGTTTTCTCAGCTTTACACTATAAGCTCCTCTCTGTCTGTGGTTAAGGCGTTTTGCCTGCCTGGGCTCATTTGTGCTGCCGCTTTGTCTGGTCTTTGGCACCAGAGGACTCCTGGAGGACCTGATGTAAAACATAGCCTTCCTCCCACCCCCACTAATTTAGACTTAATTAGAGAATAATCTTGCATTCTGAAATAGGAAAAAAAAAGAAGGTGGGGTACCGTAATAATCATAGTAATAATCTCTTACATTTGTATAGCTCTGTACCTATTAATTTTCCCTATCACCCACCAGTAGAAAGGTAAGTGATAGATATTATCATTATCATTTTTTATTGTGGTAAAAGCCATATAACATGAGATATACCCTCTTTACAGAGTTTTAAGTGTACAGTATAATATTGCTAACTATAGGTCCAGTGTTGTACAGAAGGTCTCTAGAACTTTTTCACTCTATACCCATTGAACAGCAGTCCACTCTGTCCCTCTCCCCACAGCCTTGTCAACCACCATTCTACTTTGTGTCTCTATAAGTCTGACTACTTTATTTTTTTTTATTTTTTTATTTTTTTTTTTGCGGTACGCGGGCCTCTCACTGTTGTGGCCTCTCCCGTTGCGGGGCACAGGCTCTGGACGCACAGGCTCAGTGGCCGTGGCCCACAGCCCCAGCCGCTCTGCGGCATGTGGGATCCTCCGGACCGGGGCACGAACCCGCGTCCCCTGCACCGGCAGGCGGACCCCCAACCACCGCGCCACCAGGGAAGCCCAAGTCTGACTACTTTAGATACCTCATATAATTGGATTCATGCAGTATTTGTCCTTCTGTGACTGGATTATTTTTATCTGGCATAATGTCCTCAGGGTACATTCATGTTGTATCATATGACAAGATTTTCGTCCTTTTTTTATGATTGAATAAAGTTCCATTGTATGTATATACCACATTTTCTTTATCCAGTCATCCACTGATGGACACTTAGGTTGTTTCCACCTTTTGGCAGTTGTGAATAGGGCTACAATGAACATAGGAGCGCAGATATCTTTTTGAGATCCTGATTTCAATTCTCTTGGATAAATACACGGAAGTGGGATTGCTGGATCATATATGGTAGTTCTATTTCTAATTGTTTTGAGGAACTTCTGTAGTGGGGTGGGGTGGGTGCAGGGTCGTTAACGCCTCGCCGTTAACACACGGCCCTTAGCAGTTCTCCTCCACCAGTGGTCAGCGTTGCTGTGGCCCATTTGCCTGGACGGAGGAGCCTGAGAGCCGGCTGGGTCCTGGGCACCTGGCTCCCTCAGTGGTGACGGCTGGGCAGGGTCTGGGGACCTGGCCCTGAGGGCGCTACCAGCTGAGATCTGCCTCCTCAGCTGGGCCTGGGCACTGGCGGGAGGACCCAGACTGGATGTTGGATGAGTGCTTCCGGGCAGGGTGACTGGCCTGTGTAGAGACCCTCTCCTTTTAGCCAGGGCCTGGACCTTGGAGGGTGAAAGTTGAGCCTTGGGACCTTGAACAAGTAAAATGAGAGGTAATGATGTCTCTTTGCTTATGCATTTGTTAAGTGTTAAAAGCTGAAAGGAGGCAGGGAGAAAGAACTCAATGCCTCCCCTTCCATTTCTTGTATAATTCTCAAGGCCATGACTTTTAAGAGTATTACACCTTTAGATAAAAAGTTGCAGGACTTCCCTGGTGGCACAGTGGTTAAGAATCCGCCTGCCAGTGCAGGGGGCAGGGGACACGGGTTCAAGCCCTGGTCTGGGAAGATCCCACATGCACGGAGCAACTAAGCCTGTGTGCCACAACTACTGAGCCTGCGAGCCGCAGCTACTGAGCCCACGTGCCACAACTACTGAAGCCCATGCACCTAGAGCCCATGCTCTGCAACAAGAGAAGCCATCACAATGAGAAGCCCGCGCACCACAACAAAGAGTAGCCCCCACTCGCCTCAACTAGAGAAAGACCGCATGCAGCAATGAAGACCCAATGCAACCATAAATGAATGAATGAATGAATGGATGAATGAATGAATGAATAAATAAATGTTGCAGAACAGGGAATAACCTTTGTTTTGATGGAGGTTTATAGGAACATTGTGACCTGACTGTGACCTGACTTACGCGGACAGCTGCAAGAACAAAGGGTCCCACACTAAGAAGTTTCCAACAACTAACCATGCCCCTCCCTCATTTTTTTTTTAAAAGGGCTTTGCTGAAAGGCTTCAGGGAGTTCGGGGTTCTTAATGCGTGAGCCACCCATCTCCTTGCATGCAATAAACCTTTCTCTGCTCTAGACTCTGACTTTTCAGTATTGTTTGGTCTCACTGTGTGTCGGGCACACGGACTTGCATTTGGTAACACTCCCATACTGTTTTCTGTAGTGGTTGCACCATTTAGGAGGTAGATATTATTAATGCACACAGGAAATCCCATTGCAATTACCAGCTAGACACACTACCCCACTAACTTCTGACATTTATGGAGCCTCAACAGATAGAATTAGCCAGGCAGTCCCAGAATTCTCTTGGGATGGGGACATTCCCATTAACTCTTAGCATCCTTGTTCACCAGCACTTCCAAAGAGCTGACCTGGGAGCTGGAAATTTAGGGAGATAGTAGGTCGTTGGTGGCCCTCTCACCAACAGGTGGGAGAGAAGGAGTAAATAGCAACTGACCGCATGTTGCAATGTGAGATTGTTATTTCAAAATAAAGATTTCAGTCATTTCCTGTTAATCTTTTTATTATTATTATTATTATTATTATTATTTTTTGTGGTACACGGGCCTCTCACTGTTGTGGCCTCTCCCGTTGCAGAGCACAGGTTCCGGACGCGCAGGCTCAGCGGCCAGCTCCGCGGCATGTGGGATCTTCCCAGACCAGGGCATGAACCCGTGTCCCCTGCATCGGCAGGCGGACTCTCAACCACTGCGCCACCAGGGAAGCCCTAATCTTTTTATTATTTATCACGTAGCAATGGAGTTTGCAGAAATGAGATGATGTCATATGAGGACCAGGCTTGAAGAGAAATGGAGAAATGATTCCTGGCTTGGTATATGATTTTAATACCAGGTTGGCTTGGAGCAGGTGTTATCAAAGGAGAGCCATGGCTGTAGGTGGAAAATGGGAGTGTGGGGGGCTACTGAGCATCTCCTGCTACTCAGACTGAGAGAGCACTTGGAGACCTGAGTGGGCTAGAGCTGTCTGAGACAGCATAAAACTGGGTGGTGGTTGGATTTAAAAAGCAGGTTGATGTTCACTATAGCAGGAAAGAACCCTTGAATGGGGCAGTGTGGAAGACTGGAAACGTGGCTTGGAATAAAGGCTTGACTTGGAAGGTGAATCGACAAGCATCTGTCTAGAATGAAGGCAGATGTAGAGAAGACATTTGAAAGACTCTCAAGGCTTATGGCAGAGAGAATGAGACTCAATATTGAAGGTTCTAACACAATGCTTTTTGTGTAGTAGGCCTTCAACATATATTGGCTCCTCAAAAGATGTTGGGTAGTAAAAATCAAATGAGTCCAAATAAACACAGGGCAATTCTAGGTGAACATTTGTATAATGAGTAGAGGGATCTTTGCAATAAGGTGGCTAATGGCTTCTTCATTATAAAAAAAATTCTGGACACCCTGGTAGAAGTAGGGGTGTGGAGACCCAGAGTTCCTCTGCATGGCTATTATTTGATTTTCCCCTCAGTGAACTCATGAATCACCTTCTTGGAACTCCCTTGGTTTCATGTCACACAGGTTTAAAAAACACTAGATTAAATGATCTCTAAAGCCAGTTCTAACTCTGAGTCAATGATTTGTATTATTAGCAAATGTCTTCATAAATTATCCTGTGTTTTATCTCTCCTTGGTTTGCTTTAGCACCTATGGTTTAGAGGTATAGATACCTGTATAGGTTTGGATGTCAGGGATTGTGTAACAGCCGTTCCACAGCCTTTTCTTGCAGAAGACTGTCCTTGGTCAGCAACTTCAGCGAGAACTATTCCCAGCAAGGCCTTGGTATGGATGTGAACCAATTGCTTTTTTCTCAGAGGTCTTTGAGGAGAACTATGGTATATGGCAAACATGACCATGGTTACTCCCCTCACCATATTTACAGTGTGACTTGGCAATTCCTTTCATCAGGATGTGGAGTTTATTTCCTTATGCTCTGAGTCTGAGATGGCTCTGTAATTTAATTTGACCAATGGAATGTGGTGGCAGTGACATGGTGCCTGTTTTGAGTATGATCAGCCATCATGTGACAACTCAGGTTAGAGAATGGAGATCACGTTGAATAGAGACAAGCCAGCTTAGCTGATGCCGTCCTTGGTCAGTTAGTTCCCAGCTGACCTGGCACCTGTCTGCAGAGGCATGAGTGAGTTGAGACCAGAAGAACCATCCATCTGAGCCCAGTTCAGATGGTCAAAACAAAGCATCATGAGCTAAATAAATTGTTGTCATTTTAAGTCACTACATTTTGGATGATTCGTTAACATAGCAAAAGTTAACAGATAAAACCCATAGAATGTACAAAGCCAAGAGTAAACCCTAATGTAAAATACGCACTTTGGGTGATTATGATTTGTGTTGTAGGTTCATCAGTTGTAACAAACTCATCACTTTGGTTTATGCATGTGTGGGGGCAGGGAGTATATGGGATATCACTGTACCTTCCTCTCAGTTTTGCTGTAAATCTATAACCGCTCTAAAAGAAAAAGTCTTTTTTTTTTTTTAAGTTAACAGATAGAAAGAGTTGATCAACAAAGTGACCAACAGAATCTCCAGAATCTTAGTGCAGTTGCCTTGGAGGCTCAGTATGACCCTTTATGGCAGAGAATGCTTTGTGCTCTGTAAACTATTTCATTTTCTTCCTGGCCATATAGGAATACTAGATCTCCAAGCCTACTTCCAAATGTCATGTGAGCAGAAGTAATGAGTGTCATTTCTGAGCTGGAGTGTTTGAGTGTTCAGTATACATTACTCAGACTCTTTCTTTACTTCATTTGCCAGCTGGATGAAACCAGAGTGACATCAGAGACCATGATGGTGGAGCTTTGAGATGGAATCAGGCTGCTTTGAACAGGGTACCTCATCTGTATCCATCTTTGAGGTAAGTTATTTATGGTATTTGAAGCTACTGAGATTTGGAATTGTTTGTTACAGCAGCTGGCATTGATTACCCTGACTAATACCTAGTTAGAGACAAGGCACAATTAATGCCTTAGGGCTCTGAGGGAGTTTATTTCCAAGAGATTCAATTTATTTATTATTTATTGTAAATACATTTAAAAATTAGATAATTCACATGCTTCAAAATTAAAAAGATATAATAAGATGTGGAACGAAAAAAATCTCCTCATCTATCGTCTAGCCATTGAATCTTTTCTTTCAAGGCAATGTTAGATATTTCCTTTGTTTCCGTCAGAGATATTTTGTGCATGTGCAACTAAGTGAATATATATATTCCAAATGTATAATACATATATATATACATATATATATATGTATTTTGCAAATGGTAGCATATTTTACATACTGTTGTTTCCTTACTTAAACAAAAATTAACACTAATGGAGAACTTTCCTTATAGTACATAAACAGCTTCTTTTTCCCCCCAACTGTGTACTATTACATTGATATTACATTATATTTATATTATAATTATATTATAATTATTATAATTATATTATAATTAATTTAACCACCTCCAAGTTGGTTACCATTTAGCTTGTTTGCAGGCTAAATGCTGCAATGACCCCATCCTTATATATATATGCCATTGCTCACAAAAATGTGAGTTTACGTTAAAGAAAAATGACCAGAATTGGAATCATTTGTATTATTGAAGGAGGTTTCCAAATTTCCTTTATAGAAATTTTACACTTTATGCTTCTATCAGCAGTATATGAAAGTGCCTATTTTTCTACACCCTCTCCAACACAATATGATAATCAGTGTTTTGATCTTTCATGAGCTGATAACTCCTCTATTAGGAGCACACTGTGAATCTTTCCATATGTTTGAGTTGTTGGTTTTCTTTTGGTGAACTGTCTTTGTCATTTGCCCATTTTTATATGCTGTTGGGTTGTTGGTCTTTCTCCGTTACTTTGAGTTGTTGAAATAGATGAGGTTCATGTTGAGAGGTAGAGGGAATCTGCCCTCAACTGAGCACATAACTCAGAGAGCTCAGCCAGGAAAGTAACCATTGCCAATACATCTGGTCATGAGGAGAACAAAGGAAACTCTCTCTTTGTTCAAGGTCACATCCATAGGACCTACCATGAGTCCTGGCACACAAGAAGTGCTTAATAAATATTTACTGAATTTCTTACTAGCAAATGAATGATTGCCAAATGCTGGAGCTTGGAGCTTTGGGTTTTCTTTTCTTTTTCTTTTTTTTTTTTTGCGATGCTGAATTCCTTCCAGGACTTGGTTTCTGCCTCTGCAAATGGTTCCACAGCAGAGTCTTGGGTGTTGGTAGTGTAGGCATTAAGTATTCTTCTGCTACATCAGCTGGAGGAGAATGCCAAAGGATGCTTAAGGAAGGCCCAAAGATCCTCCACACAGTCCCAGGGCTCTGGGATTCCATGCAGAGCTAAATGGTGACATGTATGGTGTCTGAGATGTCTCTCAATTCCCACTTAGTCCTTCATGTTACTGGAGCAGAATGGAGTGAAACGGGAGGTACAGGCAAACTTTATCCCCTGAGCCTGTTCTCCTGTGAACTCCAGTGCCTTTTTTCTCTTCCCCAACATCAAAACCACTTCTACGAAAGGGTTCGCTATTGGTAACCTTGGTTTGCGTTTCTCCAGCTGACTCTGAGACAAGGATTCCTGTATAAGCTATTCATTTGGAAAGTGAAATGGGCAGAAGGGAAAGTGAGTCAAAGAAGGAGAGGAAGCCAATGTAGAATGCATGGCACTCTAGCTACTGCTTTGGGCAACTGGCTTTTAACCCCATGGGAGAGGCTTGGGAAGCCACAGTAGACCCATGTCTCAGAGCTCTCCCACCCAAGGGGTGAGAAAGCAGAGGTGTTTATACCCTAACTCCAGCCAGTCATCGCTTTTGACCTGCTGTGGAGTTTGCAAAGTAGCGGCAAAACAGGGGCAAGGGAAGGCCCTCTGGCAAAGAGATGCCAGCGTTGGCAGCAGAGAGACAGGCCAGTGGGTACTCCAGGTGGTTGGGGTGAGGGGTGTGGGCAGGGCACTGAAATCTTCTGCTCCAGCCATTTCTCCTGTAGCCTTGTGTCCAATCTGACCCACCCCATTCCTCCAACCCGTTTTCCTCCCAACAGCCAGAGTGACCTTTCTAAAATGAAAATCTGATCCATTCACTTTCCTGTACTTAAGCTGAAGCACCAACCCTTTAGCAAGGCTCACAGGGTCCTGGGTGATCCAGCTCTCTAGGCTAGTGGCTCACACCTGCCCCCTAGCCCTGCAGGTTTCAAACTGGATGCATCTGTGGCCCCCATTCACCCCTTGCCCACCTGCCCGGCAGTGCTCCCTGCTGCACTGGCCTGTCTGGCACTCACCTCGTCAACTTGTGATTGTCTGCCCACCTTGTCTGGTCTCTGGGCTGCTCCAGCTGCTGTGAGCACCTCCAGGGCCAGGTAGGCCCATGTGGCTTCTGTATGCACAGCCCCAGGTGCCTGGTGTGCTACAGGCCCTTAAGTGCTACTGTAGAATGGATACGTGAATTTAATTGATGGAAAGAAAAACATCAGAGCAGGTAAGAGAAGATTTTGAGGGAAAGGGAACAAATAGGTATTTGCTAAGCACCTACTGTTACCAAACCATAGTTGGGTTCTCTTGCCTGCATGCAGTAAAGCCCATCTACTGACAGCGGGTTGTGGTGAAGGAAAGTGCAGTGTTTACTGCAGGGCACCGAGCAAGGAGTCCAGGTAGCTAGTGTCCCAAAGACCCAAACTCCCTGAAGGCTTTCAGGGAAAGGTTTTTAAAGACAGGGTGAGGGAGGGAGGTTGCGGTGTGTGTGATCAGATCGTGGATGTTCTCCTGATTGGTTAGTGGTGAGGTAATCAGGAGTCAACATCATCAACCTCTGGTTCCAACCAGTCTGGGGTCTATGTGCTTGTGGTCAGCATACAGTTAACTTCTTCCACCTGATGGGGGTTTCAGTATCTGCAAAACAGCTCAAAGGACATGGCTCAGAATATTACCTATAGTCCTTGAGGAGGAACTAAAGGTCCCTGACTTTGTTTAATGCCTAAACTATTATTATTTTGTCTTGCTTGACTGCTTTCCTTTCTTTCTGCATGTTCTCACTTCTGATTAAATTTACTCTTTGGAACTCAGGGAAGGCCTAGGAGGCTAAAGTTTTTCTACAGACAAGAGGTGGAGGACATAGGGAGGGGGTCTGTACCTGGAAGGTCCCAAAGGGAACAAATAGGTATCTGCTAAGCACCTACAAGGAACAGGGAGCTTTGCTATCATTACTTTGTTTAATCCTCATGACGATCCTCTTAGTATTCCCGCTAGAAAAACAAGAAAACTTAGGCAAAGAGGAGTTAAATGACTCTTCCGGAGTCATACAGATGGTGAGTCCTGTAACCAGCGCAAATGTTAATGTCATTGATGGGAAAGCCCATGCACTTTTTTGAGACACCACTTTGCTTGTAATTATCCACTCTCTTTGTACACTGTAAGGTCAGTCCTATAGACGGGAATCTTTACTCCTCTCGGTCAGGCTGCCTATCCCCTCTCTGGGGCACTGAGGCCACACTGGGATAAGGGCAGCGGAGGCACAAGGAAACCTCGGCCTGCCCCTCCTCCTCACCTCGCTGTCTTCCCTGGAGTTGCTGGCAATGCTTGGAGCCTCTCATAGTTCTGAACATCAGCATTTCTGTTATCACACGTTATCAGCGGCAGGTGTCCCTGGGACAGAGTGCTTATTGGAATCTTCCAGAAACCTCTTATCAAGTATCCCACACCAGAGAGGTCCCGGGCCTCCGGAAACAAGGCCCTTCCCATCAGCCTGAGATGGAATTAACCTCCCATAGGACCCTGTGCAGCCTTGATGAACCAATCACAATTGGTTCCACTTTGAGTTTCCATGGACTTTATTTTGTTTTTCCTCCAGCTCTTGCGGCTGTTGCATTAGGCACCAGCTCCGCAAGTTGCTTAGAAACTGCTTTGTGTCAGCGGGCTCGTCCAGGTTCCCATGTGCAGGCAGAGTGATGAGCACCACTGTTTTTTTTTTTTTAAATACAGACATATAATTAAGAAAAATGTTCTGATGTCTGCGAAGTCTGGCTGGCAATGAACAGCCAGTGAGAAAGGCCTCAAGGTGGAAGAGCTTGGGATTTCAATGAGAAAATGAAAAAATACCTCCATTCAGTCCTCTCTCTGTAAACTTAGTGTCAATGCCAATTTTAGGTGACTCACTTTTTTATTTTTTTTTCCTCAACTCTTTTCTTCTCTGGCTCTGCCCAGTCCTTCAGAACTAAAGATGTTACTTAAGGGGTAGATACTTCAACTCCATGTGTTACTATTCTGAACACGACAAAAGAAGAGAAAAGAATATGCAGATGGCAGGGGACATCTGTTACGCCTGTCAGCCGGCCTCCCTGTACCCTTCTTCTGCTAACAGCACTTTGATTTTGCTTTCGGATGCCACTGCTCCCCTACTCAAGGCCACAAGGTTTGTGAGGGTGACTCCACCCAGCTGCAGGGAGCAGACACAAGACTCAGGCCAGGCCTGGGGGGCTGGTTCAGGGCTGGCACATGACCCTGGAAGCATCCGTCCTGGGACTTGGTTGAAACTCTGGGCAAGGTGGTACTTTATTTCTGCTGGAGTCACAAGCCTGGGAGGGTAGATACCTGTTCTGCAGGTGGTCTTCGTTGTTACCACATGGGGAAGACCCACTGAGAGTGCCGCCAAAATAGAGGATGAAGTTAAGAGATGGAGACCACGTTGTTGGGGCCATTGGGTCTGGCCTTTTCAGTGAAGTGAGTCCACAAATTTCTTCTCTCCTCCTTTGTTTTTGCTTTAGCCAGTTTGAATTGGGCTTTTATCATTGGCAGCCGAAATAATCCTGGAAAGTAATTGTGCCAGTCCCTTACTCCTTCCACCAAAGATCTGCTTCCCGCCTTC